CCTATATAGAAGGCAAATTCAGACAGGGCTTATCAGTAGGCGACGCCAGCCCGAGGGAAGGTTAGTGGCGCAAGGTTCAGAGTGCTTCTTCTCTCCCACCCCGATCACTCCACAGACCGAATGGACATCCAGAGCCGGGCATCATGTATACCCCAAGAGTCTCTCTCTCGTTCTCTCTGTAGATTTGGACTAACTTAGTTTTTAATGCCTTTCACACGCTTTTCGCAGAACTTAGTTCTCTTTGAATACCAGTACGAGGAACAGCAGACACTTGACTCCTGCACCCATGTGGGACACTGGTGCCACAGGCGGCAGCTTTACCCATTACACCACAGCACTAAACTCTACTACCAGGTCCAGTGCTGTGGTGTAGCAGGTAAAGTTGCCTCCTGCAGGGCTAGCATCCCATATGGGTGCCAGTTCTAGTCTCAGCTACATAGCCTTCTGCTATGGCCTGGGAAAGCAGAAGATGGCCCAAGTCCTTGGGCCTCTGCACCCACATGGGAGACCTGGAGGGAGCTCCTGGCTCCTCCTGGCTTTGGATCAGCTCAGCACCAGATGTTGTGGCCAATTGGGGAGTGAACCAGCAGATGGAAGACCTCTCTCTCTCTCTCTCTCTCTCTCTCTCTCTCTCTCTCTGACTCTCCTTCTCTCTCTGTATAACTCTGACTTTCAAATAAATAAATAAATCTTAAAAAATAAAATAAAATAAACTCTACTATCTTAACATTGAAGGTCGATGGATTAAAGACACAGACTTGATCTAATTATGGCACCTGGGAGGTGTGTCAGGTGGGAGGTTTTAGGCCATGGAAGTGTGCACTTGGAGGTGGTTCTCAAAGAAATAATTATTAAAGTTCTAGCCAGCTCTTCTTTTACCTGCCTGGCTCACCACATAATTATTCCTCCATACCCACCATGACCAGCCTCCATCAGATCCTAGACTACGGGGCCACCTAATTGTGACCTCCAAATTATACACTGAAATCAAGCCTTTCCAAGAAGGACATTTTAATTGAAGGTATTTTAGTTAAAGGAACCAAAAGCAGACTAATAAATTGTTCCTGTGACCTTCTCACCAATCCTTATAAAACTTTACCTTCGATGCTTTAATGTGATAGATTGTGTTTGAGGAAATAGTAACCAACGTGACAGGCTTAGGTGACCAAGCATTGCTGTGATAGACGTATGCTCCATTGAAACATGAACCTGATACACCATAGGAGTCTTATGAGATGCAAGCAGCTCACAGATCATTAATCTCTCCCCTATTACTCAAAGCAAATAAAATAAAAAGCAAATGATTTGCACATATAAAGATTTCAGATACCTAGAGGAAAACTGAAGAACATAGATAGAGATTGTGGTTATATTTTAATTTTTCTTTCACCCAAAGATCACATCTTTGGAAGAGAAATGGGTATGAACTATCAACAAAGCAGAAGCCAATGCAAGACTCAGCTTCCCGACTCATGACTTTAAGAGATGGCCGAGCCATGGCAACAGACAGAGGAGATTTTATTAGGACAAGCAAAGTCAAAGTCAAGACTGAATATATGACAGTCAGTGTCATCAAGAAGATGAAAATCTCATCTAAAATATATGCTACTGGAAACTAAGAAGCTACCAGACATGACACAGGAAAGATTCTCAGATAAAAGTTACAGGTAAGGAAGTTAAGATGAGAATATATTGTCATTCCAGAAGGATGGCACCACGAGGGAATTCATACCCCTTCTCCCTTTTTCCTCTTAAAATATCCATGACATTTTCTGTCAAAGGGTAAAAAAAATTCACATTAACACCCAAAGTGTTTGACAAGAATGTTGAGCATATTTCATATTCTGCAGCAAATGTATACTCTGTCTTAAAAAGTTAGAGAAAATTACAAGTTGGTACCAGCTGCCAACCCAGTCCCAGAACTCTGCCTCCCAGGGGACATCGAGTCAAGAGAGAGAGCAGCATGGCCCAAACACTGGTGGCCAGCTAAGTGCTGACACTGCACCCGTAGATGCACAACTAGGCTAGGCATGAGGGACCTCACAGTGCTAAGTTCAGACTTGAGCCCCAGATTCAGTGAGTGCCATTCCTCTCATCCAAGAGGTGTATGCAGCAATCGCCCAAGCCCCAGCCACACCCTGATGCTGAAGTAGTACTGACAATATGACTACAAGAAAACAGATGCTTGACCCTTGCTGCAAATGGAAAGAAACCTTCCTCGTGAGATTTAATCCATCTTTGGAAACATCTGATATTCTCAAAAGTGGAATGATAGAATAATAAAACTACTTAAATTTAGCACAGACAACAAATCCCAATTTTAGAAGCAATATTGATGATCCTTTCATTCTGAATAAGGGGAAAACTGAAGCTAGAAATCTGAAAAACACAGAAGTCAACAGCTCTGGTTGTGTTGTAGGCAGGCATAGAGGATAAAATTGATCAGGTTTGTCAGCTGGAAGGACATGCCTTAACCACACCCCTGTGTGACCTCAAGCCCCTACCTAGACACACCTGTGGGCCTACCAGTCAATCAGATTAACTAACCACTCCCCTCTGGAAGTGGATTAAAGGCCTGGGACACTGTGGGTCCGGCCGTTTTTTGGGTTTTTGCCTCTTTTTCCATTGGTGGGGGGAAGCTTGCTGCCCCTGCACATCCAGGGCCACCTGCCCCATGCTTCCTGGCCTCCATGCTCCTCCACATGGCTGGCTCCTGGTACTTGGTATGAATCCAGATTTCTTTCTCTTTTACATAGGGTCCACACTCTCCTATGCATTTCTCCCACTGAATAAAATGCTTAAAAACTTATCATGCTGCCTCGTTCATTTATGCCGGTGTTCAGAATTCTTATCTGAATATTAGGCAAGAAGCCACACAGGCTTATTAATATTGGGAATTTATTAATAAGCACATGGTGATATCATATGGCACTCCATATTCCAGTATTAGTTGGACCTAAGGATCAAGAACGCTCTAACCCCAAATCCAAGGCTTGGACAAGGATGAGCAACAAAAATAAAACTTCAAGACAGACTCCCAGGAAACAAAATCTGAGCAAACATGAAAAAAACTTCAGACCACAAGAACTTATTCCTTTGACATCTTTGAAAAAGGAAGACAATACACTTAAATCACACTATAGAACAATTTAAATGAGGATTGGAAGTGGTCAATGCAATTGATGCTGTAGAAAAATCAATTAGTAAAAGAGAAAATGGGCTTCAGAAACATACAGAATGTCAAAGAAATTTACACAGTCAGAAAGAATATGAATAAATGTTTCCAGCATCCACATTCTGCCTGGCTGTCTTGGCTGCTGGGAACACAAATATGAAAAAAAACATTTACACCTGCCCCCAGGGTGGTCATAGCTCAGTAAGGAAAGAAGAACAGACAAATAATAATATAGATGTCATTAAATGATAACACACTACCCCAGAATCACAAAAATACAATTTCTTTTGTAGTATCCACAGATAGTATACAAAAAGAAAGAAAAAAAATAAGACACATTAAGAATATTCTATATTTTAAAAAGAAGAAAATGTGTAGGCTTTATTCTCAGGGCACACAATTAGTACATCAAAAAATCTGGAAATAAGAACATTCATCTCCTATTTTAGGGAGAACCTGTATCACAATGCATGGGATAAGCACAGCTATACAAAAAGAGAAAGACATGTGCTTTCAACATTTTCACCATTTCAAAGAGTACTTCAGTGCCATTAGGAGTGGAGGTGATTAGTGAACAACTGGAAAACAAAGACACAGGAAACACTAAAATACAAATAAAAGGGACAACAGCAAATCTAATCAAGAAAAAAAGAAAATCATTTGGAAAAATCATTTTTAATAAAAAGTATCTCTCTTCATATCCTGGTTGCATGTTTTATTAATATTATGAAACTATTAAAGAAGAAAGAAAAGGAAACATCTGAGAAAATGACATCTTGAAACCACAAAATATGAAATCGCTGTAATAGAGATCAATAAAGGAGTTGCAATTTTGGATACAATAGGCTAAATACAATCCACCCTTTTTCTAATACTAAATGTAACTGTAAGACCTGGACAAAATGCATCGAGCAGTAATTTCAGAGACCTGAAAAGTAAATAAGAGGCAGATTAGGGAGGAAGAACAGAATCAAAAGTATCACTAATGGATGGAAGTCTACCAGTTTCTCTGGTAGTATCTGTCAGCCTGCAAAGCCAGCTGAAACCCATAGCCAGGCACCAGGGTACAGAAAGAGCCCAAGGGCTTTGGCACAATAAACAGAAAAAGGAGTTTCTAGGGCTTAGAGAGAAAACAGAAATCTTGATTTTCTTTCTTTCTCCATCTTCTTGAATCCCAGACCCCAGGACAGAAGAACCCAGACCCTGGGGCAAGGGAGCCCTCCTCCACAGCGCCCAGAGCCTTGGGCCCTAAGTGCAATTCAAACCTTTATTGGTGTTTTGCACCCTCTGTCTTGGTGCCACTAGTCTCTGGATGCAGAAGCAGTCACAGAATCACATTGTGGGGGGAGGTCAGTGCCGTGGCTCACTTGGTTAATCCTCTGCCTGCAGCACCTGCATCCCATATGGGTGCCGGGTTCTAGTCCCAGTTGTTCCTCTTCCAGTCCAGCTCTCTGTGGAGGATGGCCCAAGTGCTTGGGCCCCTACACCCACATGGGAGACTGGGAAGAAGCACCTGGCTCCTGGCTTCGAATCGGCACAGCGCCAGCCATAGTGGCAATTTGGGGAGTGAACCAATGGAAGGAAGACCTTTCTCTCTGTCTCTCTCTCTCAGTCTATAACTCTACCTGTCAAATAAATAAATAAAAGAATCACATTGGGGAGAGGAGCAACTAAAGCCCCAAGAATTAAAAGCTGGGCTTACCCACAGCTGGACACAAGTAGATCTGATCAAGTAAACATAATAAATTTGATAATAAACTAAACAATATGTCATTACCCCGATTTCATTTATACACACACACACACACACACACAGGCTCCAAAGAGCACTACAAAAGCCTTGAAAACTGGGTTAACTTTGAACCCACAGTCCCAAGAAGATAGATTGGAACATGTGCCCTAAACCAGGACTGATTACCTAACAAAACAAAAACTGCCTTCTCCATAAGATTTGCTTTAAAACTCAGAATTTTATAACACAATATTCAAAATACCCAGGGTGCAATCCAAAATTAATATATGAAGAGCCAGAAACATATCAATTCACATGGGAGAAAAAAAGCAACAGATGCTAATGCCAAGATACAAACTCTTAAAATTATCTAACAAAGAACTTAGAACAGTTGACATTAAAATGTTCCAGAATGTAATTGTGAAATAACTCAGAAACAAATGAACAGAAAGTCACACCAATAACAGAAAATATAAAGATTGAATGGAACATTAAAACAAAAATACAATGACTACAAAAGAAAAAAATTATACCAGAATGGAGATGGCAGAGAAAAGATAACCCAATTAAAAATATATATACTTTCTGAATAGGGAGAAAAGAGACTGAAAAAAAAAAATAAGATCTTAGGAACATGTTGGATAATCACAAAAAGTTTAACACAATGTCAACAAAGTCCAGAGAAGAAAGAATATAAACATGGAAAAATAATAATGTCTGAAATTTCCTGTTTAGGTAAAGACACAACTTACAGATTCAAAACTTTAACAAAACTCAGAGAGGATTCATGTTTTCAAATGCGTAACTGAAACTGCAAAGGAGTAAAGGCAATGAATTGAACAGAGATAAGCAACATGTTACCTGTAGGGCACAATGATCCAAATGACTGTGGAACTCCTCATTAGATGGCATTCATTCTTCAGGCACTAGAAGGAGAAGAGAATCAATTTAGAACTCTACAAACATTGGAAATATACTTCAGAAAGAACCATGAAATTTAAACTGCTTTTAAATTAAAGGAAACCTAGGAGAATCCTTTGCCAACAGACTTGCTTTTCTTTTTTTTTTAAGATTTATTTATTTGAAAGTCAGAGTTACACAGAGAGAGGAGAGACAGAGAGAGAAAGAGGTCTTCCATCTGATGGTACACTCCCACAAATGGCTGCAACAGCTGGAGCTGCATCAATCCGAAGCCAGGAGCCAGCAGCTTCTTCCAGGTCTCCCATGCAGATACAGGGGTCCAAGGACTCAGGCCATCTTCTACTGCTTTCCCAGGCCATAGCAGAGAGCTGGCTCAGAAGTGGAGCAGCTGGGTCTCAAACTAACGCCCATATGGGATGCCAGCACTTCAGGTCAGGGCATTAACCCTCTGCGCCACAGCACCGCCCTGCAACAGACCTGCTTTTTAAGAGATGGTTAATGGCCGGCACCACGGCTCAATAGGCTAATCCTCCACCTGCTGCGCCAGCACACCAGGTTCTAGTCCTGGTCGGGGTGCCAGATTCTGTCCCAGTTGCCCCTCTTCCAGGCCAGCTCTCTGCTGTGGCCCGGGAGTGCAGTGGAGGATGGCCCAAGTGCTTGGGCCCTGCATCCCCTGGGAGACCAGGAGAAGCACCTGGCTCCTACCTTCGGTGCAGTGCGCTGGCCGTGGCGGCCATTGGAGGGTGAACCAATGGCAAAGGAAGACCTTTCTCTCTGTCTCTCTCTCTCACTGTCCACTCTGCCTGTCAAAAAAAAAAAAAAGAGAGAGAGAGAGAGAGATGGTTAACAAATTCTTCAGAAGAGAGTAAAACAGAAGAAACTTAGAACATAAAGAATGAAGGAAGAAAACAAAATGGTAAATACCTGGTAACTATTGTTACTGGTTGCAGAGGGAAGGGTAGAACTTGCTGGAACAAGTTTCCTGAGTTCTTTTCCTCAGCTTAGTATAGAAATGAAAATCCTGGAAACAATTTGCAAAGAGGCAGAAAATTTTATTAGACAGAAAAACTTTTATTTGATTGGCAAGTGACAGAAAAAGTGTCTGGTTTGAGAGGAGACCAGGCTGAGTGCCCAAACAGGACACTGGTTTTGAGGAAGTGTCCCAGGTTTTTAAGGCAAATATCACAGAGACCATTTACTCTCAAGATCCTTAGAATGTGTTTCATGGTTGAAAATTATAATTACAACATTGCATTAGGGGCTGGCACCATGGCTCACTTGGTTAATCCTCCACCTACAGCACTGACATCCCATATGGGCACCAGTTGCTCCTCTTCCACTACAGCTCTCTGCTGTGGCCAGGAGGGCAGTGGAGGATGGCCCAAGTGCTTGGGCCCTGCACCCGCAGGGGAGACCAGGAGAAAGCCTCTGGCTCCTGGCTTTGGATCGGCACAGTGCACCGACTCTGGCAGCCATGTTGGGGGTGAACCAACAGAAGGAAGACCTTTCTCTCTGTCACTCTCTCTCACTGTATAACTCTATCTGTCAAAAAAAAAAACATTGTGTTACAGAATTTTCAATGCATACTGTAATCAAGTATGGCAATTATAACTTCAGGGAGGAGAGCAAAGAGACAACATAGTGGTCAGATTTCTATATTCCATTTGAAATTGATAAAATATCAATTCTAATTAGACTTGGTAAAGTTAAGTAATTACAGAGAGAAGTCACTAAAAAACTTTGCAAATCAAAAACTCAGTCAGTAAGTCAAATAGGACACCAAAAAATGCTCAAGTAACACAAAACAATGCAGACACTAGGGAATGGAGGAAAATTAGAAACAGAACTGAAACTGAGTTCCAATTCCCTAATGCCTCTGTTGTAGACTTTATCAGGCCTTGGTCTCACTCCCTTAGATTATAGTCCCTCTGTATTCACTATAATGATTATGAGTCAATTCTTCATTAAAAATCAACTCCTTAAATTAAGGAAGACAAGCATAGGTCAGATAGGCCCAAAGACCAAATCGCAACATGCAGAATTCAATTATCACCTCCACAGTTAATGTCTTAATGCTAGGCTCCATTTTGAGATGCTTCTCAGCAACACTAGACCTTGGTCAAACTAAGCAATAACAACTAACCATTATAGTAAACATTTACCAGGAAAAAAATAAGATTCTTGGGGAGAATATAAAGCAACTAAAACACCCACAAACCCAAAATGCAACAGTGACTTTATGTTTATTATTTATTTATTTGAAAGACAAAGAAACAGACCTCCTATCTGCTGGTTCATTACCCAACAGCAGATGCAGGGCCAGGTTGAAGTCTAAACTGGGAACTAAAGCTGAATCTCCCACCCAGGTGACGGAAATTCAACTACCTGAGCCATTAGCTTGCTGCCTCTAAAGGTGTGCATTAGCAGCAAGTTGGAATTAGAAATGGAGCTGGGACTCAATCCCAGGTACTCCGATTAGGGACATGGGTGTCCCACATAGTATTTTACCTACTAAGCCAAATGCCCACTCCAAGCAGCCATTCTAGGAAAGTGGTTTAACCATTTCTTTCCAAGTGAAACATACATTTAGTATACAACCTAGAAATTCATCTCTAGATATTTACTCAAGAGAAATGAAAATATATATTTGCAGAAAACTAGTATTAAGTGTTTACAGTGGCTATATTCATATTCATACAAGCCAGGAAATGTCCAAAGTTCTTCAATAGGAAAATAGTGAATATTAGAGGCTAGGAAGAGCAGGGAGGAGGAGGGCAGGGATAGATTGAGTAACAGGTATCAGAATACAGTTAGAATAAGTTCCAGTGTTCTACACCACAACAAAGAAGGTACAATTCAGAGTAACCCCCTGTTCTGAAAAGAACCAGAAGACAGGAGCTCTAGGCTCTAAACAAAAAATATAAGGATGTGGAAATGCTTGTTACTCCAATTTGGTCATTACATACTGTATACAAGTATTGAATTAGAATACTGTATCCCACAATTAAAGATAAATATTGTATGTCCATTAAAATCAACATTTTAAAAATAAAATATGAGCAGAAGTCTTGGACACTTCGTGATGGAATGCTGCAAATAGACAAGAAGCCCCTCCTTGCAGGCCACAATAAAAGTGCTGGGCATCATTAGTCATTAGAGAAATGCACATTAAGACCACATGGAGGGGGACCCTGTGACACAGTGGGTTAAGGCCCTGGCCTGAAGCACCGGCATCCCACATGGGAGCCGGTTTGAGACCCAGCAGCTCCACTTCCAATCCAGCTCTCTGTTATGGCCTGGGAAAGCAGTGGAGGATGACCCAAGTCCTTGGGCCCCTGCACCAGTGTGGAGACCAGGAAGAAGCTCCTGGCTCCTGGCTCCTGGC